GCAGGAACACATTAGGGTTTCTTCAACAAAGGTAAATCAATAGATGCTGTCTGAAGAACTAACCGGGCTTCTTTTATGGTCTCCTAATTCCAAATTTCTTGTCATTGTCCAACAGATTAAAACTCAGTTTTAACTGGATGAACTTAAAATATCTGGTATCGCTTTACTTGCAGGTTATTTTTCATTCTTAATCAATAAAGAAGCTCTAAATTTGGTTCAGATTTATTATGTACATAAAACATTAAGTTATTGCATATGAAGTTATATAATGCTACCACCTGTAACATATTTGCTTTTTCCGGACTCTGTGTATTTTAAAAATCTTTGGTTCAACTCATAAAATGTTGCTAAATTATACTTTCCACTTTGTTTTATCCCTTCTGTACTTCACATTAGAAGAGGTCTAGAGTGCATTTTCTAAGTAATGGACATCCTGTTCTGATACATTTATGCATTTGTCTTTTTTGTCTGTCTGTATATATGTCCGTATATATTATATATAAGCGTATAGGGACAAAAGAGCAGTTTTTATCCTAAGAAAATTACTGCAATGAAACATGTTACTTGGAGGACCAGTGCTACTGCTGGTAGAAAGCATCCTGTGTTTCATTATCTAATATAAAATTCAGGGTGAAACATAGACTTCAGTAGTTGCAGATGTGGCATAAATTGGTCTAACTTTGTTGAAGACAGCAGAGCTGTGTTAGTTTCCATCAGCTAGGATTCTGACCTGTGTTTTGTAAGTGAAACTTTTGGGCAAATAATTTTTTAACTTAAGAATCACCTCAGGCTAATTTGCTTTCTGTCTCATAATTATAAGTTAACATGGCATTTATATGCTTACCACATATATACAGAGAAAATGTAAAGGCAAAAGATACTGTTAAAGGATCATTCTCATTTGTGATAAAACAATTGTGTCATATAAAAATTATTGGTGACATTAGTTCTAAGCATCAGTATAATCGCGAGGAAATACCAATAAAGGAAGATGTTGTTTGCAGACTTTAACAGCCTGTTTTAGTTCAGAGAGCT